CTTTGCCCCCTGTGCAATGTGCCCCTCACCCAGCACCACGTCGCCACGGATTGCAGGTGGTGGCGCGGTGAGCCCCCCCTCCTCCCAAGCACTGGGAACGCCTCACCACCCAGTTCCCCTTCGACTGTTTATGGGAACGGGGCCTGATGCCGGCTCAGGCCACCCAGATTCAGGGGTACTGTTGGGGCCCACAGTCGGAACGCCGAAGGAGTCTGTAAAGAGGCCAAGTGGCCAAAGGGGCTTTTCTATTGTGGGCCCTATGCGGCCGATGCCAGGGGCAGGATAGTGGCCTGGGCCATCTGCGCTTTCACCTGGACGGAGGGTGCCCCTCTCCAGGTTGGCCAACTCACAGGCCTCCTCCGGGAATGCTTCGCGGTCGCACGGCTCACCTCGCATTTGGTGGAGCGGGCAGATTGCACTTCCGATTGCAGTGCGGTGGCCAAACAGCAGTCACGCGCTGTAAAGCCCTGGGTTTGGGCCCAGGCCCTGGATAATGCGTCTCTGGCGCAAGTCACGTGGACCAGGTCCCACACCACGGAGGCTGAACACGCGGCTGAATTCGGCCCTGACCAGAGCTGGCGCCGGACTATCAACGCCCAGGCTGACGCCGCGTGTGGCGAAGCTGTGCTGGCCGCCATCTCCCACTTACCACAGTGGGATCCATCCCATTTGGCGCGAGAGGTGGCGCAACACCTCCAACGCAAAGCCGAAGTGCTACTTCTGAGTACTGACAGGCCCCCATGGGAGGCCGTCGGCGCCAGTCCGGTAAAGGGCAAGGGGCCTCCCCGCCCTGATGCCAGGCTTAAGGCGAAACAGGCCAAACCCCCTCAGAGGCAGCATCGACCTGGTGCGGATGGGGGTATAAACAAAAAACAACGCCTGGAAGCCCTCATGGCAGGGGAAGGCCACCATGGGCATCAATTCGAGTGGAGCCATACGAACCCCAACAACCACTCCCTCGTTTGTAAGGTTTGTTCCCTCTTTATCCAGCAGACCCACTCCTCCGAGGCCTTTCGGCGTTTGGAGGCACAGCCGTGCGCTCACCGGCCGATGCCTGATATCGGCAACTTTGGATTGCACGCATCCCACTCTTTCTACTGCATGGGGGCTGTCCTCCTTTGCACCAAATGCAATGCGGTCCACAAGCCAGGGCAGCTTAACCCCACGGCTGTGGCCAAAATCTCCGCCTCGGCCTCCGTCGCGGTGTGGAGACCACTACCGTTGGCCGAAGGGGCCCTCGTGGCCTGGAAGGTTGGGCCGGGCTCGCTCAGCGCCGGGGGGGACACACCGGACCCTCCACCCGGAGGCGATCTGTTCTGGGTGCCACCTGAGTGGCAACCGGAGGGCCTTGGTCAACGGCCTTCGGAGCGGGCTGGGTGTTCCTTCCCTTTTTTCCTTTGCCTTCAAGGGAGGACTGTCCCGGGGTGCAAAAAGGCTGAGGGGAGGGGTCCTCAACCCTGTCAGCACCGCTAGGACCAGCAGCCGGGCTTAGGTTGTGAAGGCGCAGCAGGTCCATCATTCCCTGCACGTCCTATCACCTTCTGGAGAGTGTCCTGGGTGGTCGTCTCCTTGAACTATTTGGCCGCCCATTGGGTGCCACGTTTTTTGTGGGCGCGGGAGGCCTCCTCACACTGCACCACTAGGCATCAAGGCCGAAAAAAGGAAAAAACTGAGAAGAGAGAGCGGAATTCTGCACGGACGTTTGGTAGCAGGGCCCCTAGACCCTCTGGTTCCCAGCCCTCCACCCTGGCCCCACTTTTCTCAGGTCAACCCAAGGCCCCCGAGGCTCCTGTGTCTCTTGGTGATGTTGGGGAAGGGTTTGCTGCGCCCACCCCGAAGCCCAAGCCGAAGCCCAAGCCTGTTTCTCAACCTAAGCTCCGGCAGTTCTGGGCCCAAAGTGGGAAGCCTTAGGGAAGCAGTATTCTTGGTGTAGGCACTTTTCCTTTAGGGCCCTTTCAGTTACTCCTACCTCAGACTCAGTTTTCCCCAAGCCTCTGAAGCGCCAGTATCGACACAGTTCATGCGCCTCGACATAGAGTGTCGCCAACCGCCGGAGGCGCGTTGGATCGCCCTGGCAGTGAAGCCCTCCGCTCTTGCCTCCGAGGTGCTCAGCCTGTGTCGCAACAGGCTCAAGCTGGGGGGCCTGGACTGCCTCCAGGTCTGGCCCGACGAGGCGATACTGGACCTTCGGTTGCCCATGGGCGATCAACTCCGCGAGGGTGAAAGGACCCTCATGGCTACTGGGCCTTCGGCCCTGCAGCCGGAGGTTCCCGAGGCCAGTGGGCGAACCCTCAGCGAAGCTGCGGGGTCTACAGGAGGGACGGGGTGCCCCCCCCCCTCAAGAGCCTTCCGAGGATTCGGCTCTTGCAGAGGATGTGGTGGCACCACCCTCGTATGGACCCCACCGAGCAGTCAACAGCCCGGATGGGCTTTTTTGTTACGCTTGTAGGGTCGGGTGCCCTACAATCGAACATAGGCAAGCCCATTTCATGACCCCCGGGCATCAGGAGAGGGTCAGGCGGTTTTTGGCCTCCTAGCCTGACCCTCTCCTGTGCAGAGACAGGATGCTCTGCAGGGTGAGGTGCACCTCCCTTTCGGGTGAGGCTCCCTCCCTGTAGGACTTTCGTCCTGTTTCACTGGGATGTGGCTCCCCACTCCCAGGAAGTGGTTTGCCACTCCTGCCAGTAGCTAAGGTAGGTCAGGTAGCCTGCAGCTCTTGGTAGGAGTAGCCACTGCCGCCACTTTGGCGATGCCCGCAAATGCGGATGACTCCAAAATACTTGGAGTTAATTAATGCATGTCGGACAAGCCTACGGGCTGCTTCTGCGAAGCGTGCGTGAGAAAAGTTTGCTCCTGCCAAAGGAAAAAAAAAAGGGAAAGAGAAAGGCCCAGGCAAAGGCAAAGAAAAAGGGCCAGCAAAAGGAGAGGGCAAAACCCAGGTGCCGCCGAAGCCGCCACCGGCCAGAAAGCGCCCGGCGGCAGCAATGGAAGCGGCTACGCCGGGCCCGGCGGAAGCCGCTGAGTACTCGTACTACAGTACAGAGTCGGAACCACCTGTGGCTCCCAAACCCCAGCCCACGGCGAGCTTCCTTGAGACAATCAGGGAAGGGGCCAGGGCACGTCAAGGGCGCACCACCGCGCCGGGCGGCCCAGCTGGTGAACCCAGCTCCTCTTCATCCTCCAGCTCGCCCAAGCACAAGGAGGAGCAACAGAGCGAACCTGGTGAAGACCAGGAAGAGGAGGAGAGCCCAGAAGGGCAGGTGGATAGGCTGGCCGGGGAGGCACTAAGCCCAACAGAGCCGGCGTGGTCCCCGCAAGAGGCCCCACCCACCGTACCTGGTGAAAACCAGGCAGCAAAGCAAGAAGAGCCGGAGCCTGAAAGTGCGGCCCTCGAACCTGGTGTGAACCAGGCAGCAGTAAAGGAGGTATTCCGGAAGGGAGCAGCTCAGAAGAGCCAAAGAGGAACCGTGAGCTCCCCCCGGGGCCAGGCATTACCGGTCCAGACCCGGACTATGCCCAAACGATGAAATTCTTCATCTCCATGAAAAAGAACGTGAAACCATGCCACAGCCGCTATGCTGAGGCATGCGAAGTTGAATACTTCAGCACAGAGGTCTCAGGGGTAACCAGGCTCAGCCTGGTGATAGTTGGCCTTGGTGGCTCACGAGTGGTCACGTTCACACCCCACAAACCGGGGGTAGTATGGAAACTGTCGGTATACCCCCAAGACCAAGAAGTCTTGGTGTGCAAGGTCACGGGGGCCATGACTCCAGGCCTCGCCAAGCAAGCTGGTGTTCACCAGCTCTGCGAAAGAGGACCTGGTGCAGACCAGGAGCCCAAATGGGTCACCCTCATCGAGATGGAGGCGAGCCTTCCAGGCCTGCTTCACGGTGGCCCTCCTGGCGAAGATCCTCCTGGTGAAGGACATAGGGAAGGCCAATATGGGCCTGAGGTTCACACAACCAGGACAGGCTGTACCGGAAATGGTGATGCTGGACGTGTTGGGGTGGGTCCCTTACCCTGAAGGAACCCGACCCCAATGGCCAAACGTCCAGCGCCTCACGGGGTTCTGGAAATCCATCGATGATCCCTTGAGGGCTGAGCTCAAGCTGACAGTGATAAAGCATCACACGTCGCTTGAGAGCACCACAGTTGCTCTCAAAGAGCTGGCGAAGACCAAGCTCTCTAAGACGGACTTCGAGTCCCTCATGAAAGTGCTGGTGGATACCAGCGTTTTGGCGGTAACACCGGAGGGACTGTTGGGCCAACCCCTCCTCCCGGACGAGTACCGGCACGACTTGGTACGGGGAAAAACGTGGCTTATCCTCCCCTTTCCGTAGGGACTGAGAGCTCAGGCTAAGGCCTGGACAACTCCAAACTGGTGCTACCAGTACCAGCCCTGCTGGTGAAAACCAGGCAACTGGTGCCAGCTGGTGTCTGGGCCAAAGAGCTCCAGCTGTAGGGCCAAACCAGTCACCACAACCTACAGAACTGGTGTCAGTAGTAACCAGCCCTGCTGGTGTAGCTCAGAAGGCTGGTGCTACTGACAAAGCTCTTCCAGCCCAGTGGAAGCCACTGGTGAGTAGAACCCACCAAAGGTGGGCAAAACCAAACCGCCTGTTTCACCCCAAACCGCCGGCCGATGGCCTGGCAGCGACTTGTTCGCCCACGACGAGAAAAGTTTGCTCCTGGCTCAAGCCATTTTGGCTCAAGTTTGCTCCTGGCTCAAGACTTTGCAGTGCCGTCGTGGCCTTTTAGCCTTGGGACCCACTTTGTCTAGAGGCTTCAAAGAGTCCCCAAACCCAACCTGGTAAAGGTCGTAGGCCTGACAGCAGGCAAGGGTTTGGTGGGCGGCCCGGTAGGTTGTTCACTGCACTTTCTGAGTGAGGTCGATCCTCCTCTTGCCGAGTGCACTTCTAGAGCTTGGAAGTGGGCACCACTCCTTGCTTGCTTTCTGCTGCCACTACTTCTGGTAGTGGTTTCCACACCAGCTTGCAGCCATGCCGCGCACTCCCAAGTGGATCCCGTGCGCCTGTGGGTACCACTGGGCCTGGAAACGCCAGGTCGAGTCGGGTGAAAATACCCACTGTGCGTACTGCGGCAGGAACTGGCAGAAGCAGCTGAACAAGCAGCAAGCAAGCAAAGACGCCCGTGCCGAGCAATCCCAGAGCCCCCGAGCTGTCTGGGAGGACGGCCGCACCAAAGGCAAGGGTAAAGGAGAAGGCAAGGGTTCCAAGAACCCTCCAGGTGGCAAAGTCGGCGCGGTACTCGCGGGTCTTTGGAAAGACCTTCCTGAGGCTGCACAGAAAGCCTTTCAGGAGGTCGGGTACAGCCCACCTCGGCCGAAAGGGCCACCGCCTCCCCCGCCAGGACTGGACCTTCAGTCCCTTCTTAAGGGTAGGATGCCCGAGAAGGAGTACAACGCTGCCAGGGCCGTGGTTTACGCCGGTGCAGGGCTCCACGTCCAGACCCTTTTGGAGGCCGCGGGAATCCCCCCTCCGCCAGATGAGGACCTCGACCAGCCAGAACCCACGCCCCAGGAGAAACTGACAAGGTGTGTCAGTGACTTCAAGAAGGCCACCAACCAGATGAAGAATCTGGTAGAGAAGAAGGCCAAGCTCCAGGCCCGAGCGGACAAGCTCAAGCAGGAACTGGAAAAGCTTATTGGGGACGTGGACCAGGTTGACAAGGACATCAAGGCCAAGGACGTCGAGATCCAGGAGACGGCCAAGGCTTTCAAAGAGATGACGGCGGACTCCACCAGCACCGCTTTCAGCGCCCTGGAGGCGGTCTCAACGAGGCCACCCGGGCCAAGATGAAGGCTGCCCTGGTCGGGAAGGAGGACCTCCCTCCGGACCCCTTCATTGTGAATTTCAGAGGGCATGATGAGTACTTCCCTCGGGAGATGCCCCCCATGTACGGCCCTGCCCGCACCGACCCGCATGGGAAGCGTCCCACGCCTTTGGAAGGGACGAAGCCAGAGGGAGCCGCAGGCAGCGACAACCCCGAATAGGGGCGCCTTGGCCAGGGGAACCCTGCCTTCCCTCTGGCCCTTTCTGGGCCACGGGCCCCCAGGCAGGTTTTGCAAGGGCAGCCGCCCAATCAGGCCCTTCTCCGATCGTCATTGGAGGTTTTGCAGGCCTTTTCCAACAATCAACTTGCTCTCTTACCGAGGGGGAGTGGTCTGCCACCCTACCTTGGCCAGGTGTCACACAAGAGTAGAGTTTTCATCTGCACGATCTAGGCAGCACTCATTTGTTCTGCGCGCAGTGCAAAATCTTTCATAAAACCCCGGCGGCGCTGCGTTGGGAGTCAGCGCCTGCCCGAGGCTTCATGGCGCCCGTTCAGCCTCTTCCCTCGAGGCCTGGGAACGGCCTTTTGATTAGGGGTCGTGGGTCAACCACCCCCTTTTCTTCAACTCTGGCGCCGCAGGGTGTCCCCACGCCAACGTGTTCGGACAACCAGAGCGCCCAGAATTTCCCCAGGCTCTCTGGGCCAAAATTTTTTCCAACTGGTTGGGCCCTGGACCCTGAGCAGGAGCCTCCCGCCCCAAGTGGTACCTTGGGCATCGAGGCACCCACGGGTTCGGGGTTGACCCCACCCTTTCCCCCCTCCAGGCCAAGGCTCTGGACATCAGCCCGTCGCGCGGGGTTCGCACACAGCACGGCTCACGGCCCGCGTCGGCGGCGTAAAGCGCTGCAAGACTTCCTCTGGGAGTCCACTCGAAAACATCGCGCTGCCCACCGGGCTAGGATGCAGCGACAGGCCAACTCTCTTTTCTGGCACTCCTGGCCTTCTGGTCCCGAGCCCTCCAGTGCCAGACCGAAGGAACAGGGCTCCCCCCCCTGTGTCCTAGGGCGGCGGCCCCCTACTCCCCCTGGTCGGTCTCCCCCAAGACTCAGGAAGCGAAGGCCTAGCTCCCGGGGGAATGTGGGCAAGCCCCTCCCAAGCCTCAAGCCTGAGGCAAATACAGTTCAGGCCCTTGCTGCAGGGCTTGCGGATGAGCTCAGGGCGAACAAAGACTGGAGCAAGTCGGAACCCCAGGCGCTGGCCCTGGCTGAGGCCCTGGAAGGAACTGACGAGGCCAGCTTGGGCTACCGGGTCTCCTACGAGATCCTCGAGGCCATGCAAGGCCACTCATGGTTGGACCCCATCACCGCCGCGGCTTTCCTGGACGACCTTGCGGCCCAGGAGCACCAGCGGTGCCAGGAGTCCGTTGTGTTTGTTAGTGCCAACATCACAGCGTGGACTTCGGATATCCTCAAATGGCACCAGCCGCAAAAAGGGCCCCTTCTCATCCAGGAGCTGCACTTGGGAGATGAAGGTGCCAAAAAACTGCGCATCGAGGCTTTAGCGGTATGTGTGCTTGCTCACGAGTGTTTGGTAATGTTTTGCATGCTTGCTGCATTCATGACATTCCATGTGCATTGCAGCAAGCAGGCTCGCAGCTGCCAACTCGCCTGCATAGCGGGCAGAAACTTTGTTGGCTTAACAGGCCTTTCTTTGTAAGCCCTCTAGAACAGCTCTGGAGGCCTCCAATCTGTGTGGAGTTTTGCTTCACTTCATTCCTCTCCCGCTCGCGATAGGGGGAGGAGTGCATGTTTTTCAGGCAAGCTGATTTTGCAGTGCTTTGTTGCATTGGTTGCTTTATTTGCATTATGAACCAGTCAGTGCCTGTGAGTGATTCGTCAGTGCCTGAGTATTCTGGTGATCCTGCATTGGGACATGACATTGCTGATTTTGATCAATCCCGTTGCATCGTCAAACGGTTCCAGAAGCGGACCTCGGCTCAGCAGGATTTTTCTACCTCGGTGGGGGCCTCTCCTTCGTCAGCAGTTTTTGCATCGGTGATTTCATCCTTGCAGGATGGTCAGGATGAGTGCCTTGCACCCCCAGCTTTAGAGGTTTCCGACAGTGATGAGCCAGCTGTGATTTCTGCTTCTACTGCATTTGCTCTGGCTGCACAGGGCGAAGAACCCGAGACTCCTTTTCCTTGGACTACCACGCAGGCGAGATGAGACCACCATCGCCCGTGTATGATCCGGATTACGAGTTGGTAGATCCATTGGATGTTTCCCTGGAGCTTTCTGCATTAGCTGAGCACTCTGGGTCTACGTCGTGGGGGATGGTCTCGCCAGTGCCTGAGACACCACCTGCACTTTTGGCCCCGAAACCTTTGCATTTCTCTCCGCTTCGTGTGGGGCGACTTTCCTTTGATGCTGCTGTCAGGGACATTTCAGATCCTTTGTTGCCGGCCTTTTCTCAGCCGGCACCTGCACATTGTCCTGCTGTTTTGGACACCCAACCGAAGGCCACTCCATTGGCTCGCCCGGTTCGTCTCAGTGAGTCCGGATGCCGTGCTACGACCTTGCATCCTTCGGTGGCGAGATCTAGTGCGTCGGCCAGATCTCGTCCAGCTTTTGCACTCAGAGCATCCCTTGGTATACCTAGGGCTTCGCCCAAACCTCGGCCGGTCCCTTCGGCTCGTGGCGCTTATGCATCATACCCTTCTGAGAGATTGCATTCTGCTGCCCAGGAATCTGGGGCGGTCTCTAAGAGCTCGCCTACCCCTCAGCATGCTGCATTATCGTGGTCTCCGTCTGTGAACCCAGGTATTTCATCTCACAAGCATCAGGCCACTGCTCCTGGCGCCAAGCGGAGTATCGAGCTTATTCATTCTGGAGAGCCCACTGACAGATCTAAAGTGGTCAAGCAGACTGAGATTCATTCAAAGCAATGGGCACGTGCATTACACATGTGGGGTGAACTTTGTGCTTTTGCATTGCCGTGTTCTACATTACTTCGTGATGTTTTCGGCAGCCCTAACAAAGGTGCTTTATTAGAGCAATTGCTCCGTCGAGTGTCGGACACGACAGCGGTGAGATACATTGCTGTTGTCTGGCAGCTGTTGCATACGGTCACAGATCTTGGCTTTGACATTGCATTGCTGACACAGGTGCAGTTAATTGATGCGATCCATACACTCCAATTGTCCCGTCGGCATCATTCGTCGGTACATTCCATTAACGTCCTCAAGGCGGTGCGATGGTTTTCATCAACGGTTCGCCCGACTGGCTTCCCCAACCTATATGATGGTTTGTTTCATGCCCGGTCTTGGCAGTCCCAAACTGCATCCAAAGAGGCATTGCCTCTTCCACTTGCTTTCATGCTTTGGCTGGAAACACAAATCGTGTTTGGACGGTTTACACTTGAGGAGACTGCTTTTGCGGGCAGTGTTCTTACGTGCATTTGGTGCAGTCTGAGATTTGGCGACAGCCAACACATCCAGTTATCGGATTTGTACATTGACTTCGACAGTTTCAGGGGTGCATCCTACCGCACAAAGACACAGAAGTACATGGCCTTCGGCTGCCTTCATTCAGGTCTGCTGAGGTTGCCTCGCCAGCATTGCTGGCTCATTCATTGGTTACTCTCGGTTGAGACACTGCTGGATCTCCAGCCCGGAGCCCAATCCATTCCGGACTACATTTTCTTTATGATAGAGGCGGGTTGCATCAGACCTTTGACTTATGCAGAGTGCCTCTCGAAGCTCAGGGCTTTGCTTTGCATGTGGAATCAGCTTCCACCTGGACAAGAACTACAATACACTCTACATTCCATGAAAGTTACATTGCTTGCATTCTTTAGGCAGCTTAACATGCCTCTTGAAGCCAGGCATCTTCAGGGCCACCACAAACATTCTGCATCGTGTGCATTATATGGGCGGGACGACGTGTCCCCCCTCCTTATCACTCAGGACAGCTTCATTGATAAGGTCCGGACAGGCTGGAAGTCGCGAACCCCGCTGATGCGTGGTGTTTCGTTCATGCCCTGCGAACCCGAGCTTCCTTGGCCCTCCGATTTGGGGGCACTTTTACATGTTTCAGTCCCGACTTTCTTCAGGTTGGATACATTGCCAGGCTCATCGACGACGTTATCGGATGTGCACTTAGTTGCACCTCCTCCTCCGGTAAAGCTCGCATTGCCTTTGTCTTCCACCCGTGAGGAGGTTCCTGATGAGGCTGAGACCTCCTCATCTGAGGACGATCTTGGCCAGGCGGAGGAGATTGCATTTCTTAGTGCAACCACCAGCAACATCATACATGCTTGCATTGAAGGCCGTCCGGCTTGCGGCTGCCGGGGCACTTTTCACTTGGTCTCTCACCCACCTGAGGGATCACGTTTTTGCAAGTCCAAAGCTTGCATTTCTATTCTCACGAACCTTTCGTGATCTTGTCGGGCGCCTGACAAACAGATTGCATCCCTTCTTGCACTTGCGATTGTGAGGGATTTCGACTCACCTGATGCGACGGGTTGGTCGGCAAGTGCGGGCATTTGCATTTGTACACCGCTGCAGCAGAGTGTTCAGACGAAGTAGTGCCGGAGGATTTGCATCATGTGGCTTTCTCTTGACATCTTCCATGCCTTTACATTCTTACTTTTGCACGGAACAAGTGATACCCTTTCTTGCATAGACTTTAGGCTCTAGTCTGGACGGTGCATTTCGCGACTCTGCGATTTTTGCATCATCATGGACAATATCCGTGATTCTGAAGAACTTCGCAAAGCTCTTGCTTTCATTTACAACTCCGATATACATCAAGTCGTATCGTGTGTTCGCAACGGTCCAGCTTCTGGACAGCGAAAGCTGCTCATGATAGCAGCAATGTCCTTTCAGCAGTCTGCATCTACCTCTTCTACATCGTCTCAGCCCAAGCCCGAGAAGACTTGCATCGAGGAGGAAAAGAAGACGCCTACCACGGCTGAGGCGAGTACGAAAGAGGTGAGTAAGGATGCATCCCCTGCTGTGCTGCCCAGTGCATCTTCCACTGCAGGGGACACTGCGAATGCATCGTCGGTGAAGGATCCTCCTGATGCATCTTCCGGGAGCCCTGATGCATCCACGACGCAGCCTACGACTTCTACATCCCAGACCAATGCTTCACCAGCACTTTCAATACATCCGATCCACAACCCGACTTTCATTCAAGATGGAGCTGAGCCACCGCCTGG